TGGATGGATTTCTTACTTGTTTTAATGAGACCTGTGAGGCTATCCTTAACACTGTTGCCCCCCCCCCCCCCCCCCCCCCCCCACACACACACACACAGAGAAGCGCAGAATAAAGAATGAGGCAGAAGGTCTATGACAGTGTGAGCGTCCTGTCTGACCCGAATGATCGTGCACCCTGGCTACCTGGTCAAAGGGGTTGTCCGTTTGGCTGACTGGTTTGAGCGCGTGACTCTCACCTGGGAGTTTGGGGATCGGATCCCGCCTGGGCCCTCGTCTCTCCACCCTGTCACACGTCATCTATAGGACCAACACAGAAGGCATGATTTTCATCTTTTGTTTTCTTGCCAATTCTTTGTGTTCCTGAATTTGCAGTCAGGACATCACACATTCTGTGCAGTTCTTCTCGCGCTTTGTTCACCGCACTAATCATGTCCCTGTGTGCCTACAGGACAGCGTCAGTTAGCACCCGGCCACTTCCAGGTGCGCCATGCGCCTGAGGCGCACTGCTGAGACAGGCCGACCTTGCAGCCACGTCTTCGGTTGCAGCACGGGATGTCTCGTTGGACACTTCGTCCAGAGTCACTGGGGGGAAACAACGAGATTTGGTTTTGTTTTATATTTTAATGACGGACACATTTGATCTGCATCAATAAAAGGCTTAAACGTTACCAGTCTCCTCTGCATGGTCAGTGTCTCCCTCCTTCTCCGGCACGATGCCACGCATGCTTGCCGGTCCGAGTACTGCTGGGATCCTAACGGCGAGCGGTGGGGGATCAGAGGTGCCAGGGCCTCTGCCAGTGGCAGACACACTCTGGCGGTGGCAAGCCATCCTTCTTGTTTTGCCTCCACCTCTAGATCGGACTGTTTTTTTATATCCGCCACAGATCTATCTGAAGAACTCACAACATTGACGGCTTCAGCAACACTGTGCCACTCTGTGGATTTTCTCTGATTTGTTTTGCAAAAGCACTTCCTTTCATTTCTCCACCTCACCCACAGGTACCTCACCTTCTGCTTCGGTGAAATTGCGCTGCCTTGATCTGCGGTCGCCATCGTTAACGGTGGAGTGCTGCAACGAGCCGGCTAACGTACATGTATGATATCCACAAGGCACTTTGCATTGACCATTTATGGCAGAAAGTGGGCGTGTTGAGGGCGGGATGTGATCCAGAAACACCTGAGAACATTTCTAGGTAGTTTGTGATTTATAACAGCTTGTTATAACAGCTTGTTATAACAGTTGTTTAACAGCTGGATGTTTAGCGAGGACTGCTGGGAGTTGTTTTCTCATGTCAGTGACCGTATCCTTGGGAAACCAGAATGTTCTGGTGTTTCTGCCATTAAAATCCACATTCTTGACATGAAAGTCACCCACCATGGGTTTGAGGGTCAGCCTCAGAGTTTTTCTTCTTTTGTCGTGGGGATTTAGTGATACATTTATTATTCCTCACCCTGTTTTGTGGAGGAGAGGGGATGCTTTCTCGATTATCTGGAGAAATCTGTTGTGTAGATGTATCCAACCCTGGGCCGTTCAGCAGCGACCCAGTAGTGCAGTCAAATGTTTGGTTGGCAGGGAATAGCTCTGATATTCCTTTTTTTTCCCAGCTCCTTGTTGTGTGGTGTTTCCTGGATGGGAGAGCTGGCCAGCCATGGTCGTCAGTGACGTTTCTGTTAGAGTCTAAGGCTGAAGCCGGTTGTCCTCTGCTTGCTACCCAGGGACAAGATTTATTCTTTGGCTTCGCACCAAAAGTATTCCATGATGGGTCTCAGATTTACTGTGAGGCAGAGAGCCCTCTGGCCTTTCCACAGACGAGTTGCTGTTGCTGACCGGCTGTGGGCGAATATCTTGTCTGGCTTTGACAGAAGAAGAAAGGGTGGTGTCACCTCCAAAACATCCATTTACTTCCCAGTTGACTTCTGATCGAGAGATTTGTTTTGTTCTTTTTCAATAACTGAGATCTTCTTGAGAAGTTTCTGGAAATCTGCTGATTAAAAAGAAGGCATAATGCTGTCAAGCCACTGAAAATCAAAGTTGTGGCCAAACAAGGCTGTGGTGCACTCCTGTGTCGATTAATAAACAACTTCCCGTGTTTGTAAAGAGTCCAGAAGTCACGTAGCAGGAAAATGTTTTGGCAGGAAAACAGCAAGAAGGAAAACATGTAAATAAGCTGGAGCAGACAGCGTCTGCGCTGTAGCGAGGCGAGATACGTTGTACCGCTACAGCTTAGAAACCTGACTCTCCCGTTTTCCACTCAGAACTGACAAAGCTCCTCGGACGAGAAGCAAAACGTCTTCAAGAAACCAAGAAAGTCCAGTTGTCTTCCTTTGAATCCTTTTGGATTGCCATGACCTGGATGACTGAGAACCTTCACCAGCATGGCTCTGCTTCTAGTTTCATTGTTTGAACTGTCCAGCTGCACCTGACAGCTGCTGCTCTGTTTCCAGTGGAAATGAGAAGCTGTGCACAGCTCACTGGGGTATCCAGGCATTGCAGCATGTGATGTTTTATGTGTTCATGCAGATTGTCTGATAAACCAAAGCTATGATAAAAGCACCAACATGAGCTCTGTCGATAGCACACGAACACAAGCTGAATATCTGGGAAAGAAACAAAAGTTAAAAGTAACCCGTCCCTATCTGACCCCGAACGTTGAGGAAAGGCTGGGAAAGCCAGTCATGTGGCATGCTGGGACCGAGTTCTGGATGTCTTCACTGTGTTTGATTTTACTGATGTTCCAGATGGAGATCTGGCCAATGTCTAGGTTGGTACTCATGGACATCTGGGCCTGGGTCAGATGCTTTAATTAGCTTTTCTGGGTTAACCATTTCATACACCCAGTCTCCTATAACTGGTTTACTGTAAATATGCTGGACTGGGAATAGACTAATAAAAGTAATACAAATAAAAATAAGCCATGCACTGGCGATACAGTACATGTGCCAACATTGTGGTCTTTATTGTAGTGCTTCCCATGGGTATGTCATATGAGGGCCTCGGGGGCCTTTCAGGGGAGCCCAGCTCCCCCGTAATTTGAGCCCTGTGTAGTGTTCTATGTAATACCCCTCAAAACATAACAAATATCCATTTACATCAGCTCTTAACGGCAACCTGGTTCCCTACTTCACCAGGTGCTATGGGACTGTTAGCAGCGGCGTTTTGAGGACACCTCTCTGCACCTTGACGATCGCTGGGCTGCTGTGTTGTTAGCAGCAGTTTCAACCAATGTACACAGCTTATCATTCTGTTCCTTTCAGGACTAGTGTTGTTTACTGTGACGAAAGATAAACACTGAAATGAACAAAATGTGAATGCTATTTACAGGGTAGAGTAAGTATGTGTTGTCAATCTAGTCTATTGACAACACATACTTTTGTAACAGGTCTGCTAGGGTCATGTTGGACGGCTGTTCATCCGAGTCACAGCCTCTACGTTGGGGTGTCCCACAAGGTTCAAAACTCGGCCCGTTACTGTTCAACCTCTATATACTGCCCTTAGGAGCCATTTTCAGAAAGCACGCTGTCTCATACCATCTTTACGCTGACGAATGTCAAATCTACTTTTCATTTAAGCCAACTCAGTCAACGCAAGTTCTGTCTGATTGTATCCTTGAGGTCAAGCAATGGCTAGCTGACAACTTCCTCCATCTTAATGACTCCAAAACTTACTTAATCGTTTTCAGTCCTTACAGTACCACGGCGACTCATCAACCTGACCTCAGCTATCTCTCACCTAATGTATCCTCTGTAATCTCCAACCTTGGAGTAAAAATGGACCAGGCTCTGAAGATGGATGCCCAGGTCAATAACACAGTTAAATCATGTTTTTACCAACTAAGACGCATCTCGAAACTAAAGCACATCCTGAGTGTCCGTCTTCTGAAATCGGTGGTCCACACTTTCATCACCTCAAGGCTGGATTACTCTAACTCCTGCTTATATGGCATCAGTAAAGCAGCTCTTTCTAGACTTCAGCTGGTCCAGAATTCAGCAGCTAGGTTGCTGACTGGAGCTGACAGAAAACACATTACTCCAATTCTGAAATCTCTCCACTGGTTGCCCGTGCAGTTCAGGATAAACTTCAAAATTATGCTTCTCACTTACAAATCCTTGAACCATCAAGCTCCTCCATATCTGTGTGAACTGGCCCATTACTACAACCCGCCGCGTGCTCTCAGGTCTGAAGATAAGCTCCTCCTAGCTGTTCCGAATGCACGTTTAAAAAGCCGTGGAGAGAGGGCTTTCTCTGTCTGTGCACCCAAGCTGTGGAACGCATTACCACTGCTAGTGAGGCTAGCACCAACAGCTAGCATTTTTAAATCACGCCTGAAAACTCACTACTTCAACCTAGCTCATACCACATAATTATGAACCTCACTGACATCTGCACTGTTTAAAAATGGACTTTACAATATCAACTTCCATACTATTGAGGTTCTTTTTTAAAATGCTTTTCTAATTTTTATTCACCCTGTGTCTTATTGATTTTTAGCTGTTAGTTTTTGGGAATTTTGTTGTATTTCCTTTTATCCTTTATCTGTGTTCCACATGTTTGTATACCGCCGGTTTAATTAACCAACATTTTTAGTGTACAGTGCCTTGTTTGGTTGTAATGCCTTGTGAATGCGCTCTATAAATAAAATTGGATTGGATAGTCTAAAAACATGCATACCAGCTAGATGTATAATCATTAGCAACATCACATGATTACTTACAGGCAGCTTGCAGGTTGTTCTGTTACCAGTCCACCTCATTCACTGCCAGCTAATGCTGATTAGGTGTCTTAGCTAGTCACAGCAGCAATGCTGCAAGGACACTGGGTAGCTACAACCAAAACAAGGTCGCTACAGTAGGCTAACGATAGTTACAAAGAGGTAGGGTTGCAGCGATTATACGTGTTGGTGAGTGAGGTAGATCCTCGGTGCACAGGTGTAGCATGTGAACTGTGTTGGAGCTATGTTTCAGACGAGCTTCTCAGTGAGGTTTTTGTTGTCTCTCTTCAGGCTGCCACTGACACCAGTCTTATGAAGCATTCAGTCTCCACTGTGGCACCACAGCATCCCCAGGAGGACAACCTGAGAGACTGCACCCTGGAGACATCTCACCAGGAACGGGCACACCACCACCACCACCACCACCGCCGCCGCTGCCACCACCGCAAAGAAAGAGAAAAGGATCGAAACAGAGAGAGGAGGCAGAGGTCTCTGGACACCCCTCTGGGGGCTCAAGCCTCTAGTTTGACAGGTCAGTCAGCGTGGGTGTCGTACCTGACAGGTGCAAGGCCCATGCACCTGTAGAACAAGGGTGGCTGTTACACCTTTTCTACAGTTTAGCTCATGACCTTAACGACCGATCCAGTATTCCCACGTTGCTGTTTCCGCTAACATTCCAATTCTGCAGCTCCCTAGCATCCCACACCTGTCCATGACACCTAACGTCTTAAAGCGGATTCCAGCTGCTTGGATCCACTGGAGAGTGGTTTTCTGCAAAAACCTAATAAACATGTGTGTGTGTGTGTGTGTGTGTGTGTGTGTGTGTGTGTGTGTGTGTGTGTGTGTGTGTGTGTGCGCGTGTGTGTGTGTGTGTGTGTGTGTGTGTGTGTGCGCGTGTGTGTGTGTGTGTGTGTGTGTGTGTGTGTGTCCCTGTGTGTGTGTGTGTGTCCCTGTGTGTGTGTGTGTGTGTGTGTGTGTGTGTGTGTGTGTGTGTGTGTGTGTGTGTGTGTGTGTGTGTGTGTGTGTGTGCGTGTGCGCGTGTGTGTGTGTGTGTGTGTGTGTCCCTGTGTGTGTGTGTGTGTGTGTGTACAAAGAACTATTATGAGGTCATTCAGGTTACGTCTCCCTTTAAGACAGCTTAGTTCTAAAATCTGAAATTATTCCAAATTAACTGTGTTTGTGTGTGTGTGTGTGTGCGCGCGTGTGTGTGTGTGTGTGTCCCTGTGTGTGTGTGTGTGTGTGTGTGTGTATGGAGAACCACTATGAGGTCATTCAGGTTACGTCTCCCTTTAAGACAGCTTAGTTCTAAAATCTGAAATTATTCCAAATTAACTGTGTTTGTGTGTGTGTGTGTGTGCGCGCGTGTGTGTGTGTGTGTGTGTCCCTGTGTGTGTGTGTGTGTGTGTGTGTGTATGGAGAACCACTATGAGGTCATTCAGGTTACGTCTCCCTTTAAGACAGCTTAGATCTAAAATCTGAAATTATTCCAAATTAACTGTGTTTGTGTGTGTGTGTGTGTGCGCGCGTGTGTGTGTGCGTGCGTGCGTGTGTGAGAGAGAGAGAGGGAAAAGTTAAGGACGAGCAGAAGATTCACCGTTGAACCAAGGCTGGGTGATAGAACAATAGAAAATATACTTTGAAATAACTTTTCCTCAACAGACTCATGAGAACAGGCCAATAGAAATTAAGAACAGATGAACGGCCAATCATATTAAGTTTTGCTCCACACTGGACCAATCATGTGACTGGAACAGAAGCAGACACTCTGCAGGTGACGGGTAGAACATGGCTGGTAAAAGTCCACCATCGTCACTGAAGCAGTGAACCCTAACCAGTCCCTCACCAAGACCAAGTCTCTGTTAGAAGGGTGAGTGACTCGTTAACATCAGCGTTATGGACGCTAGTCATGGTTACTGGATTACTCATCAAAACCAGTTAACTAAAACCATGGGTCACCTCAGCTTTAGGTGTGTTGGGTTGGGTTCACCAGCAGGGTTAGCTGAGCGGCTCATCTGAACCTAAAAGTCAGGCTTTCTGATGACATCAAATACTTCGCCTGTCGACAACATCAGAGAAGATCGATGATAGACTGAAATAATAATCCAGACTTCTTTGTGAGGAGTTCAGTTGTTCTGGTCTGTGATGCTGGAAATCCAAACACACACAGTAACAGTGTTGGTAGCCTGTCTAGTCCTGACCACAGGTAGGTGGACCTGTGGCGTCCCGTCTCACAGACCCCTTCCTTGTAAACCAGACCGATCTCCTCCGTTGCAGATGCTGCGGGTGAGCCAGCACCTGAACTGGCAGCTTCCAGAGAGCCGGTCCGCGACCGTGGACGCTCCCATGAGAGGAAACACCATCACTCTTCTGCAGACAAGCAGCGCTACTATTCCTGTGACCGCTACTGCAGCTGGGAACACTGCTGTACAAAATCAGCCAGCTGTGCTACCTCTCCCGGCGAGAACCCGAGAACCAGCAATAAGCAGGTGGGAGAGCACGGACGGTGTCCAGTACAGGCAGGGCTCAGTCTAGCAGGTCCCGCTTGTCCATAGACCCACACCCAGATCATTATAAAGCGTACAGGTGTAACCAGAGGTGTGTAGTGGAAGCATATGAACGACAGGAGTGTAGCTGCATGTGTCATCAAACCTTTGAAACCCCAGGAGTCGGTTCAGCGAGTCCAGCATCGCCTCAGATGCAGCTTCTGCTGAGGTACACACTGGAACACACCTGCCTGTAGTTAGTCCACAGCCTCCAGGTGTCACCACGCTGCTGTCGGAGGCGTGTCAGGAGCTAACGTTTGACTGGAGCTTTCTGCTGTTGTCTCTTCAGCCTGTCGTTAGCACAGCCTCTCATGGCCTTTCATTTCTTTCCCACTTTTCTTCTCACTTACTTTATCTGTCATCGTTTTTATGTTCCTTTCTTCTCTCTATCGTTTCCCTCTGTGCCCACCTCCCTTCATGGTTTGGTGTGTGTCCTCCTCTTGGTGGTCCTCTCTTCCTCCTCTTGTCTACGTTTTATTCCTCGTACATGTTTTGCTCATCATTCTATTATTTCATATTGCTTGTTCAATTCTCATCTAGGGTAGTGGTTGGGTTAAAGGCAGCCCGGCGGCACCGAGCTCCGACTCTAGCACACCGAGCCATGGACGCCGGCAGCTCCCACAGACCCCCCTCACCCCGCGGCCGGGGGTGGTGTACAGGACTGTGCACTCCTCCCTAGTGCACGTTGTGTCTGGCCAACCATCTCCCAGTCCCAGCCGGCTGAGCCGAGGCTTGTCGGAACACAACGCCCTCCCTCACAGCGGTTCCCACTACGCCCCCTGTCCTGTCACTCGTATCAGCTCCGAGCCGTCCCTAGGCCCGAGCCATGGCAAGGCCCTGGGCAGCCTGCGGGACCAGCTGGAGTTCTTCCATGATGTGATGCTCGTGTCCGCCAGCCCCGGTGCTGAAGGCTCATCCCGGACCCGGACCGCGCTGCCTTGCACGATGGGAGCCTCACTTCCAACTCATGGTGTAGACCCTGGCGTGCCAAATGGGAACCATGTAGGTTTTGGGGGTAGCACCAGTCCAGGTTCTGGCATCAGGGTGCGTAGGTACAACAGGTAGAGGAGGGTAAAAGGTGCTAGCATGGCTTTGAACAAACCTTTTTATGTGTTTTGGGAAACTGTGACGAGTCTTAGCATCTTTAAGGCTTTAAATCATCACTTTGTGTTTTCTGCTGTCTTTTAGAGGCAACGGTTTCAGGAAGAGTGCTTTAACTAGATAAGGTTTAAGTGTGAGAGTCAGAGATGTTTAAGCTAGTCTTTTTCATCATGTAGCGTTATGAAGATGTCTCACTGCGGCTGTTTACCACCATGTTGATCCTCTCACACCACCTGATAGACCCACAACCTGTGAAGAAAAGAAGGATTCAGATGTATTATACATATAATTATTATATATATACAATATTATTGTACATTAATTCAAACTCTCCTCCAGACAGAAATAGTTTTACACTCTTATTTTATTGAGTCTCGTGTGTTCATGTTGATTGGCTCTGACTGAGGGAGATGGTTGTGGTCTGGACTCCTACATGTTTATTCAGAAGCCTTTCAGCTGGCGGTTGGTCAGATGTGACACGTAGCAGAAGCAGCAACACAAATAATTATTCACAAATGGGTTTTGGGTCTGGTCTGGTCCACGGGTCCCCTGCCGCCCCAGCACACACGTCTGCCGGCCAGTAACAGTTGTTTTCTGATGCTGGTTCAAACGTGCCAGGGATCACACATGATATGTCCAAGGATAAAAAACCATTCTGATTCCAACTAAGTGATTATTTTCAGCAGGCAGCAGAAGCTGTGTTAGGTTTTGTGTGAACACACGTGGAGGACTCGTCTCACCAGATTTACGTCATCAAACCCGACAGAAGAAGGAGGATGAGTTTAGCGAGCTTCACATCCTTCCGGGATGAACGAGGAGCACTGAAGCGGCCCTCAGTACAACAGCCACAAGGCACTGCTCAACGACAAAATACACAGTTAGAGGAAAAAAAGATTCAAAACATGATAACATTTGTTCTAAATGAGAAAATATAAAAATTGTGATAAAAAATAACAACGTGAGAAAAGAGAAAATAAATAAGAAAAAGTTCATCAGTAGATCTCTGGAAAGGCGGCGTTGGTAGAAAGAGCAGAACCAGGAGAGGTGATGAAGGTCCACCAAACCTGAACAGGTGAGTTTAAAGGAGACCTCTGAGTCCACTGATCTCAGGCTCAGGGGGAGAGAGGTCCAGAGTCTGGGGGCCACAGCAGCAGATGATCTGTCACCTTTGACCTTTAGCCTGGTGCTGCACAACCAGGAGGCTTTGGTCACTGGACCTCAGGGACCTGCTGGGGGTGTAGGGACTAAGAAGATCACCAATGTAAGATGGTGCTTGTCCATGTAAGGCCCTATAGACCAGAACCAGGATCTTGAAATGAACCCTGAAGTTGACTGGCAGCCAGTGAAGCTGGAGGAGAAGCGGGGTGATGTGGGTGTGTTTGGAGGACTTGGTCAGAAGCCGAGCACAGGCGTTCTGAACCACCTGTAGACGGTTCAGGGAGGTTCTGCTCAGACACGTGAAACGAGAGTTACAGTAGTCTAAGCGTGAGGAGATGAAGGTGTGGAGAACTGTCTCAAGTTCAGAGCGGGACAGAATGGGACTCAGCTTAGCAACGTTCCTGAGATGGAAGAAGGAAGAGCGAACAAGAGAACTGACATGAGAATCCAGGGCGAGAGCTGGGTCAAAGGTTACACCAAGATTCCTGACAGAAGGTTTGGTGTGGGAAGCAAGCTGACCAAGAGAGTCTCTGACTTTGGGAACCAGCTTGTCTGGGGCACAGATGAGGATCTCAGTCTTATCTTCATTCAGCTGAAGAAAGCTCCCACCATCCAGGTTTTGATAGAGTCTAAGCAGGTGTGGGTAAAGGTTCTGTAATGAATCCCAGAGTACGTGGCACACACAGTCCAAACTCACATCATTAGTTTTCATTTAAATGAAAGTGTGTCATACGTGTGATTCAGGGCGTGAGGCAGAGCGGGTACCCTTTATAGTGCTGTTCACTTCCATTCTTGTAGTTTTGCGTGGGTCAGGGGACCCTTAAGCCGACCAGAAGGGGAGGAGCCTTCCAACTTTCCCCGCAGTTATGCTGCTTCCTCATCACCAGCAGAGGCTTACCTGTATTCTCTCATCACCTGGCTCTTTTGGGCCTAAAGCATCCTTTGAAGACGTCCTTCACTGAGAAACCATTTTTACTGTTTATTCTTTAAAAGAACCAGTCACTGAGTGTTTCATACATGAAAATAGTCTCCTACACCTATCTCCAGAAGTAGCTTCTGATAGAAACTCCAGGAGGAGAAAAGCCCGACAGATCTTTGTTTCCCAGCTTAAGAGGCATCCATTCCTGCTATTGGCCCTTTGCACCTTCGTCACCTGATCACGCGGGTCCACCATGGAGGACGGCAACAGTTCATCACATCAGTGTTGAACTGAGGGCAGAAATGGTGAACGAGGTTTTGCGGCCAGTTTAACCTGGCTTGTACTGGTTCACACCCAGTTCACCAGTGGGAAGGTTTAGCACACCTAGGCGGGCTCATAAATGTTTAGTGCTAGCTAGCTTCCATCCTCCGTGCTGCTGTTCACCGACGTCTGTCAGAACCCACCCCGCCTGGTTTGTGTGATCAGCAGTGTTGGCTTCACACGGGAGCGGATTAAAAACAGAGCCCTACCAGCTGGTGGGTCAGAGGCTGCTCTCACCTGGAGGAGACAAGACATCTCATAACATCGGTAGGTCGCTGTCGTGGGCGGTAACGCTCATGCTCCATAAGTAAGTAATATAAACACAGTAGGTCCATCCCAGTCTTCCTCAGGAAACACACGAAGGTTTATCTCACCTGGTAAAACGCGTCTGAGCTGTTGGTCCGTTACCGCCGAGGCTCTTCGCCTTCGTCAGTCTCCATCAGCCATTCGTAACACTACATAAGAGCTTTAATGCTACAGCCTGGCTGGTTTACTAGCTCTCCAGCCGTTTTTCTGCCATCCACCATGGCGAAGGGGGTGGTTCCATGAGCGGTGTGACGTCACGTGCAACCGGTCAATAGGCCACTGCAAATGTATAGCAAATATGAGTGAAGGACCTTTTAATGACCTTGTATTCCTTTCCTTAACCCTCCCAGGCTCAAAATAAGTTTGGATAAAAGGACGAACAACTCAGTCCCTCAGGGATGCTTCTGAGTTAAAAATGCTCATGAAACACGCGTGTGGAGTAACCAGGTAGGCAGGTTTAAACGTTGCACATCTGCCACGCCTGCTGCCCCCAGAGGGTTAAACAGTTAAAGAAACCCCCGCAGTGGTTCAATGAAATTCCTATTTAAAGGTCAGTTATGAGTCACAAGCCAGCCCTGGTACGGTTCGGGAGGCAGTGTGCCTTCAGCCCGACAGACCCCGAGTGTGGGAATCAACACGTGTGCGACTGCATCGTACTGACTGGTTTATCACAAACCAATCAGGTTTAGTTCAGGTTAGATATTAGTTACAAGCAAACCGTTTTAGTTGACCCGTGCATCGGGGCCGAGTTGCAGGAGGTGTCCATCATGAGGTTGACTCATGATAGCTCCATTTAGCCACATGTAGCTCCTCTTCACCGTACGGTGGGGTTTGAGTTCATGGACAGTTGTTCAAGTCCGTGACTGAGTCAACAATCTAACACAGTCATGAATACATTGTGGAGGTGAGTGGTTCTCTGGTGTTATTGTTTTATGTAGCCAATAACACGGCTCGGTGTGAGACCAACGGCTGGAGCATCCAGTCGTCGGGCACTTCCCTGGGCCTGGCACTGGCTCCGCGGGAGGGCGGGTCTGTGGCGGTGAGGGACACAGACTGACCAACACCATCTCTGTAGGACCAGCACGGGTTCATCCCTGCAGAGTTTAGCGTAAAACCACACACGGACCTCAGCGTGTTTCACAAATTATAATGAAACAACAGTCAGGACAAGAATACAAGGTTTTCAGGAGAAAACAACAAATACAAACACATTGTTTGTCTTACAGGGTGTGACATCACCTTGATAATTACAATGTCCTCAACTATCACCTGGGAAACAGGATTTTATAATGAAACAACACAGAACAACCTGGAGGATGATGTCAGTCATCACATCACTATCATTAGTCTATGTTTACCTGTTGTTTACCTGTTGTTTACCTGTTGTTTACCACCAACAGCACAACACCGTTTTAAAAGTGGCTGCAGCAGCATCAGTATGGTGGTTTGAACAGAACAAGTCATGGAAACAGCTCTGTGAGTGGATGGCTGCATGACTTCAGACGCTATGACACTGGACAAACAGCTGTGCTGTTGCTTAGTTACCAACTCTACCATTCCATAACGTTGCCTAATCCTGTCACGACATTCCTGTGGCGTCGGCTGGACAGGCTGGTGGAGCTAATGATCTCGTAAAATGAAAGAAAGACACAACACTCGATGTCTGACTGATTTTCTACACAGTTTCCTTCAGGAGGTTTCCTTTCTCAGTGTGTGTGTTGTTTGTACGACATAAGTGAAAGGTGTGTTTTCGTTTCAGGCCGAACGTTTCTTACAGACTTCTTTGCATCGATTAAGACCAAGTGCCTATCCTTTTCGATAAACTGTAGAGAAAAATGCAGCATCAACGTTTTGTAACACGTTAGTACCGATAAACACGGAAGTCCTCATGCACGTAGCTCTGTGAGGAACCCTGCTGTACAGAAAGCCGTGTCAGCAGCAGCATGTGTGCCCACCATGCAGGACCACATAACTAGCGTTCTACTCTCATGTGCATGTTAGTAGATAGGTCCGTGTTTGTCGCCAGTGTGCTTGTAACAAGTTCTTATCTTGTTTACCAAGTGGACAGGTCAGCTAATGTTTGGGGGGTGACAAAAACTGTAATTTGTGTGTGTGAGTGTGCACGTGCACGTCTGCATGCGTGTGTGTGTGTGTGTGTGTGTGAGCATGGGCTTTCCTTTAAGCTTTTTTATGAGAGGCACTTTGTTTATTTGGTTCATCTTCAGGGTTAGACGACGCGTGGAAACGGAGCAGCTGCTGTTTTATTGATCTACGAGCAGAAAATACACTTTAACTTGTGATCCAGTCAGAGGCTGCAGCCGTCAGGGCGGAAGGAACCATAAAATGACTTTTCACCTACTTTTAAAGACTGCATCAGTTATCAGTGGATGGTCAGCTGTGTTCCCTTTTCTTCTACAGTGGGGCAAAAAAGTATTTAGTCAGCCACCGATTGTGCAAGTTCTCCCACTTAAAATGATGACAGAGGTCAGTAATTTACATCATAGGTACACTTCAACTGTGAGAGACAGAATGTGAAAAAAATCCATGAATTCACATGGCAGGATTTTTAAAGAATTTATTTGTAAATCAGGGTGGAAAATAAGTATTTGGTCAATAACAAAAATTCAACTCAGTACTTTGTAACATAACCTTTGTTGGCAATAACAGAGGTCAAACGATTACTATAGGTCTTTACCAGGTTTGCACACACAGTAGCTGGTATTTTGGCCCATTCCTCCATGCAGATCTTCTCGAGAGCAGTGATGTTTTGGGGCTGTCGCCGAGCAACACGGACTTTCAACTCCCTCCACAGATTTTCTATGGGGTTGAGGTCTGGAGACTGGCTAGGCCACGCCAGGACTTTCAAATGCTTCTTACGGAGCCACTCCTTTGTTGCCCGGGCGGTGTGTTTGGGATCATTGTCGTGTTGGAAGACCCAGCCACGTTTCATCTTCAAAGCTCTCACTGATGGAAGGAGGTTTTGGCTCAGAATCTCACGATACATGGCCCCATTCATTCTGTCCTTAATATGGATCAGTCGTCCTGTCCCCTTAGCAGAAAAACAGCCCCAAAGCATGATGTTCCCACCCCCATGCTTCACAGTAGGTATGGTGTTCTTGGGATGCAACTCAGTATTCTTCTTCCTCCAAACACGACGAGTTGAGTTTATACCAAAAAGTTCTACTTTGGTTTCATCTGACCACATGACATTCTCCCAATCCTCTGCTGTATCATCCATGTGCTCTCTGGCAAGCTTCAGACGGGCCTGGACATGCACTGGCTTCAGCAGCGGAACACGTCTGGCACTGCAGGATTTGATTCCCTGCCGTTGTAGTGTGTTACTGATGGTGACCGTTGTTACTGTGGTCCCAGCTCTCTGCAGGTCATTCACCAGGTCCCCCCGTGTGGTTCTGGGATTCTTGCTCACCGTTCTCATGATCATTTTGACCCCACGGGATGAGATCTTGCGTGGAGCCCCAGATCGAGGGAGATTATCAGTGGTCTTGTATGTCTTCCATTTTCTGATAATTGCTCCCACAGTTGATTTTTTCACACCAAGCTGCTTGCCTATTGTAGATTCACTCTTCCCAGTCTGGTGCAGGTCTACAATTCTTTTCCTGGTGTCCTTCGAAAGCTCTTTGGTCTTGGCCATAGTGGAGTTTGGAGTCTGACTGTTTGAGGCTGTGGACAGGTGTCTTTTATACAGATAATGAGTTCAAACAGGTGCCATTAATACAGGTAACGAGTGGAGGACAGAAAAGCTTCTTAAAGAAGACGTTACAGGTCTGTGAGAGCCAGAGATTTTCCTTGTTTGAAGTGACCAAATACTTATTTTCCACCCTGATTTACAAATAAATTCTTTACAAATCCTGCCATGTGAATTCATGGATTTTTTTCACATTCTGTCTCTCACAGTTGAAGTGTACCTATGATGTAAATTACTGACCTCTGTCATCATTTTAAGTGGGAGAACATGCACAATCGGTGGCTGACTAAATACTTTTTTGCCCCACTGTATTTTCAGTATTTTTTAAATGAAAATTAAAGGTTGTTTAATTACCTTTAAAATTTTGTTAGTTTTAACTTCACTAAGTTATTTCTTTTATTTATCTTTGGCAATAAATTTTAAACAATAACAATCTCCAAAAACCTTGTTTTAATGCTGAAAATCCATAAAAATCCTTTCTTTAAATAAATAACAAAACACAAAAATTGAAATTAGTCTATTAAATTGAAGTGTTTCATTATTTTAAAATGTGAATTTCATAAGAATGCTACAATAAATGCTCCATGCATTTGGTTTTGTCCACTTAGGTTCAGCATTAAGGAGAAAAGTCAGCTGGTTTCTTCTGCATCAGTGGTAGAAGCATCTAAGAGCTTAGAGGAGGATCTGCAGCTGCCGTCTTGCTGCAGATCCTCGCGTGGCCCACTGCCTCACTCCCACTGGTAGAAGACAGTTGTCCATCCATCAGCTTGTCTTCCCATGGTTGTGATGCAGAGTCTGTTCATGTCTAGGATTTAACGTCAGCTGATGTGAACATAATTATATGCAACTTGTTCAATTGCTGCTCATGACATTTTAATATGTGGCCACGTTTTTAGGCCTAGTCCACACGTAGCCGGGTTTTTAAAAAAATGAATATCCGCCCCTCCAAAAACTTGCATCCACACCACCTCGTTTAAAAACAAAACTCTGTCCACACGTACCCGGATAAATACGTTGTTAAGGACATGCCAGACCTGTAGGTGGCAGTACTTCCCCCGTTCTTAACCTCGTCCTTCGTCTGTGGTCTTCCGCAAGGAGCAGTAATTCCTCTTGCAAAAACAAACAAGCAGTTAGCCTGGGTGAAGATGTGGGCCTAGCGATGTAGGGCTATGCAACAAGACAAACCCATGCCTCCTTTTGTTTTGTAGCTTTAAAGGCTGAACTCTTCTAATGGAGATTTCAGCATGATGATGACCAAATGCTGTAGTGAAAACGCTCTTAAAACATGCAGACAGAGACTTCATATGCATCGAGGCACAAGTATAAACAAGGACTACAGCAGCTTTATACCACAGCATGCATGACATTCACCCGCCTCAGTGGCTGAAACTGCACACGGTTCCGTTTGGTCACACTTAGCAGAAATCTAACGTTTGTTGTTGAGACAGGTTTATATTGTTCTGTTGATGCATTCATGAGTGAAATGAGGAAAACAATTCCCAGAATGTTTTTTCAACTGCGTGCCTCCGTGTTGCACCTGTCGGATCGAAGCAGGCCGACCCGGCTAACACGCACCTGATCCAAACTTTCTTTCAGCTGCCATGTGAGATGTGGCATTTCTTTAAAAAACATGTTTTTATTATTATATATATATACATATACATATGTGTTTGCATGTTTAATGTATGTGCATGTACAAATCGTAGTACTTGTAAACACCACATGATTATTTTGTTGTTGAATGTAATCCGATATAAGCTGTGGGCTTCGGTGGAAAGACTCATTTCTATTCCAGCAGTATTCACCAGAGCCGGTAGTTCGAGCCCCACAGCAGCGCTAGAGCTTTTGTTTTATTCTTGGGATTCAGTGAAACGTTGGTTTGCCTGATTTATGTTTCTTGGCCAAACTTTGAATCCTGCGACTGTTTCTACATTTAATATTTTGTATGACGCAGATGTCCTTGAAATAAAAAAATCAAATGAACCTGTTTCTAATCCTTTCACGTCGTACATTTTATTTAAAAGCACCCTTCATGACACCCAAGGACACTCACAACAGTAGAGATAAAATGAAACAAAATGGTCACAAGCTATTCTAGCGGACCCGTAAGAAGCAGAATGACACGTTTACAAGGTGTATCATTAAAAGGGGAAGGATGATGATGGGAGCAGGCCGAGACTTAGTCAGGAGACAAGCGGGGTTGTTACCAGGAGATCCGGGATGCAGGATGTCAGGGACGAAGCAGGGTAATCCAAGAAGGACACGGTGAGGAGGAGGATCAGAGGACGAGGCAAGGTTCAGGATCCGTGATGACAAGGTAGGTAACGAGGCTGGAGTGTTCAATAACCTGGCACTGGGTGGTTGGATGGCTGGTTCTTCAGTAGCAGGGGAAGCAGGTGTGTGTGATGAGCCGAGGAGTCGGGAACAGGTGAAGTGGATGAAGCTGATGGTGTGCAGGCTGGGGTTGCTGTGGAAACGGGGCATTGCAGGAACAGGAGCATGACAACAATAAACACAGAACAACACTTTTAAACACTAATGACAAAATGTATAAATAATAATGGTTAAAAACATTAGTAAAGTTTCACGAGGTGCTAAAGGCTCGTCTGAAGAGGTGGGCTGTTAGTTTTGATTTAAAAACAGGGAGAGAACGAGTCGCGTGGAGGTCAGAGGAAAGAGAATTTCAGAGGTGGGGAGCAGAGCAGATCAATGCTCTACTCCCCATAATGACGAGGCGAGCGGGGGGAGCCGAGAGTTGAGGAGCAGAAGCGGAACAAAGTGAGCAGACAGGAGTGGCGATGTGAAGGAGATCAGGTATGTAGAATGGAGCAAGGTTATTGAGAGCGTTGAATGCGATCGGCAGAATTTTGAAATTGGTTCAGTTTGATGGGTGACCAGGATGCAGGATGGGGGTGATGTCCTAGTGATGGCGCATGCCGCAGCACACGGTAGAAGCTGCAGTTTCTGGAGGGATCTGCTGGGGAGACCAAAGAAAAGTGAGTTGCAGTAATCTATCCGTGATGTGACGAGGCTGTGGACGAGGATGGCAGTAGTGTGCGGGGTAGGTGGTGAACGGAGAAGGGTGATGCAACGCAGGCGACAACAGGCAGACTGATGTGATTTTGAAGAGTGTGCTGTTCAGGATGGCATAGCATAAGGAGAGGAGTAACTGTTGAATTTTCAATAGTGATGGGGAGAAATTTGGAGAGAGTACTAGGTGTGTCTACCAGGAAGACTTTCGTTTGAGAACGCTGGAAGTGAACCAGGAAGGAGTTTCTTGGAGACAGAGGATAAGGGAGGAGGGCGGAAGGGAAGTTGTGGGTTTGGTTGAGAGGTGGAGCTGGGTGTCGTCGCCGCAACAATGACAATTAATGTTGTGTTTACGGAAGATGTAACTTAGGGGGAGAAGGTAAGTGATGAAGAGAAGGGGCTCCAGGGCAGAGCCTTGGGGCACACCAGCTGAGACAGGACTGCTACTGGATTTGAATGACCTCAGTTGAACTGTGCAACCAGAGAGGTAGGAGGTGAACCAAGCAAGAGGAGTGAGTGATGCTGAGGAGGGTGCTAAGGGAGATGGTGTCACATGCTGCCGTGAGATCAAGGAGGATGAGGATGAACAACAAACCAGAGTCCGGGGCAGCGAGAGGGTCTTGGTGGTTTTCAGAAGGGCTGTTTCAGTGCTGTGGAGAGGATGGAAGCCTGAGTGAAACTGTTTGGAGATATTATCGGTGACGAGGCGGTTGTGAAGATGAGATTCAACAGATTATCTGAGAACTTTAAAGATGAAGATTGGAGACAGGATGTACGTTAGTGGGGTCTAGGCCGGACTATTGCTGCTTTGAGAGTGAGAGGAACAATTCCAGATCTTAGAGGATGTTGAGTGGTATCAGTTATGGGACGGGCAAGAGAAGAAATGCAGGCTTTGACAAGAGCTGTGGGGATGGGATGGAGCTGACAGGAGGATGCTTTGGATTGAGGATGAGTTCGGTGATTTCTTGGATTGAGGGAGGGGTGAAGTTGGAAAAGGTTGTGTGAATGGAGGAGGGGGCAGAGAGGTCCACTTTGGAGATTGGAGCACCCTGAAAGGTCAGGTGTTGATGGATGTGGTTGATTTTAGAATCAAAAAAGGACACGAGTGAGTTACAAAAATCAGCAGAGTGCAGATGGAGGGGGAGAGAGTCGGGTGCAGGAGAGGAAAGAGAGTTTTTGAGTTGTGTTGATCAGAAGGAATTAAATCAGAATAATAAGCAGATGTCGCGGAGGACAGGTGGTCCCTGTCGAGCATTATGAGAGCAGAGCACGTTTCTTTATGTACGGTTAGTCCAGTTTTCTTGTACAGTCGTTCCAGCTGACGTCCTTCAGCTTTGAGCTGACGGAAAGTGGGGGTGAACCACGGTGATGAGCGGGTGATGAAACATCTAGTTTTTAGGGGAGGGGTGGATATTCAGAAGGGTGTTGGGTGTTTGGGACTGGGACGAGTGTTTATGTCAGCATTTATATTTCTAATGTTGCAGATGATCAGAGTATGGGACAAGGTGGGATTTACAGTCAGAAGGGGTGATACCAGCGCAGCAGACCAGGTCCAGGACATGACCTTACAGTGGGTCGGGAAGCTACTGTGTTGTTGTCTGACTGTCTGTCCTCCCAGCAATGATGCCTGTTTGGGCCCACCTTGGGCTTTAGTGGGCTGTGTCTGTGCTAGTTTGGGCAGGGCAAATTCATGAATTCACACTATTAAACACGAACTGTTCCTTTGGAAGTGAAGTGATGTTTTCATGCTAAATAAATATCCCATTACCTGGCTCTAAGCTTGGTGTGAATATTGGAGTCACTAGGAAATCTGCAGCAAGCCTCTGAGGTGACAGAGCATCACTGAAGGTGTCATCTGTGACTGAAGGGTTAGGAAAAGGATGAGACTTTGTAAAATGTGTCACATGTGAGGTTAAATGTAGGAAGTAGTGTGTGTGCTTCCAGCTGCCCAACATCTCTGAATGTCTGACCTTTGTTACATGTGATCCACTTCCTGCTGTAATCTGGGCTATTCCAGAGCTGAGTAACCAGAGTAGATTACACACCTGAGTAACTGGACTAGATTACACACCTATGTAACTAGAGTGGATTACACACTTGAGTAACTGGAGTAGATTACACCCTGAGTAACTGTAGTAGATTACACACCTGAGTAACTGTAGTAGATTACACCCTGAGTAACAAAAGCAAATCACACACCTGAGTAACTGGAGTAGATAACACCCTGACTATTGTTTGTTTATTCATTTAGCTAAATGAATAAACAAACATAAACAAACACCCTGACTAACTAGAGTAGATTACACACCCGAGTAACTAGAGTAGTTTACACACCTAAGTAACTAGAGTGGATTACACACTTGAGTAACTGGAGTGGATTACACACCTAAGTAACTGTAGTAGATTATACACCTGAGTAACTGTAGTAGATTACACACCTGAGTAACTGTAGTAGATTACACCCTGAGTAACTGTAGTAGATTACACACCTGAGTAACTGTAGTAGATTACACCCTGAGTAACAAAAGCAAATCACACACCTGAGTAACTGGAGTAGATTACACACCTAAGTAACTGTAGTAGATTACACACCGGAGTAACTGTAGTAGATTACACACCTGAGTAACTGTAGTAGATTACACCCTGAGTAACAAAAGCAAATCACACACCTGAGTAACTGGAGTAGATTACACACCTGAGCAGGGGCAGATTTAGCAATTTGGGGGCCCAAGACGAACACAGACATGGGGCCCCTTACACTAAGTTTTCGACAATCTTACCTTTAACTGGATTTGTGAAACTCTCCCCTCTTCTGACACGAGTTACTTTCCCTTTTTATTAGTCCTCCTCTTTTTTCCTGTACTTCCCTTTTGAGCGCTTTCAATGTTTGCTCTGCTTTCTTCTTCCTGTCAGCGCTCCTTTGCTTTTGCCTTTTTTTATTTATTTTTTTCTATTTTCCATTTTGGTCCATGTTTTCCTCCCTTTAAACATTTTCCATTGTCTTTCCTTTCTGCTTCCTTTTGATGTTTACATCAAAAAACGACGTCACTTTCAGAAGTGAAGATAAAAGCTTTTATGAAGCAAGCTGCTTCGTTCTCTTATTGGAGCCACTAGGATAACTCCATTTCATGCTTCATGTTTTGACTATCGCTTTGAGTTTGTTACGAACGCTCCCGCCTCTCTTCTTCTTCTTATTTGTGGTCTTATGGCACTTGGCAAACAACAGTTTGGTGCATTACCGCCACCATCTGGATTGGAGTGGAATGACCAATCACTTCCTGTTTGTGCATCGCCATCTTAATAACCCTCTTATGACCATAATTATAACAGGGCCGCCTGGTATTTTTTTATCGTAGCGATATTTTCCATAATTCCATACTTTACTATAGATCGTTGGAAAGCTGCTTTTATGTACTTTTAGGAACCGTTGGAATTATTTTAATCTGATCAACCATTCAAAAGTTATAAAACGGAGCATTTTGGACGACAAACTCAGCACGTCTCTGAATCTGTGTTGTGATTCGGTGCGCTCACGACAGGGAATCCCGGTGGCTACCGTAATGTATTGTATATGCACGAAACGCCCCATTTTAATTCTTTTCAGCACTTTTCAAATTTTAATGATTTCTTCAACGGTTCAGGTATTATGGTAATGAGAAGTGCGCATGTCCAATCCCGTCAGCGGCGACAGGTTGGTAATAAGTATATTGTGGCGTTAACAGAGGGGTGCCGGCGGTCAGGGCTAGGGGGCCCCAGGCGGCCGCCGACGTGTGACTAATGGTGAAACCGCCACTGGTTTCATGCACCGTTCAGGGTTTCCAAGTCCTGTTTTAGAACACAGACAACATCCCATCTGTACATCTGCGCCTCCCTCCTGATCAGCCTGACAGGCTTCATGACACAATACATGCAAGGCATGCTAAAGACAAAGCAGGCTTCTTCTGTGGTTGGAT